TTACTAATAGTTTATTACTAGCAAGGTGATAAAAACATGTTTTGAAAACATGAATTAAGTGGTAGAAGGTAAAGCAAAAAGTAATTTATTGTGCCATGATAAAAATCAATATTATAAAAATGCAATACAAAAACCAATTAATTTGCTTGAGTTATGTTTACATTCTTGTTTATTTAAACATTAAAAATTCTAAACTAAAAAGTGATTTGCAATAAATTATTAATCTTTTTGACTTTATATGTTAAACGGATAGCCGATTTCAGATGCAGTACTGTAAAATTAAGTGGTCAGTTTAAACTTAATTTTTCACACATCTTTTCGGTTATAATGTGTTCCGATAAATGAAAGTGCCCGAAACAAATAATAAAATCTATAAAATGGTAAAATATGCCGAGAAGTTTAAGTAAATCTAAGAGTGACTTTGCATGACTTTGTTAATGTTCTCCAAAACACAAGTTTCGAGGATCTTTGTACGGTACATAGACCTATAAGTTTGATTCTGAAGGCAAGTGTTTTAACACAGACAACACACGAGAGACGATGTTTAAGCACGTCGTTACCGAGGTTGTAGACAAGCACATTGAGATTAGACATTCAACGCAAAATACTAACTAGGTATCTTTTGAACAATTGGCAAGCAAGTTTTTAACCGCGGGACAGATGGTAAGATTTATGGTTTCAAACACAAAAAAATATATTTTTAAGATTTACATAATCACGAATATCTACATTTAGATAAATCATGCTACATATTAGGCCTACCATTTTGATCAAATTTGTAAATTTAATAAGATGCCTAAAACACTGTTTTTGGATAACTCATCAATCCAGTAAATACAGTTAATTTGTTTGAATATAATGGAGAATGGCTAAAAAAGGACCCTGTCCATATTTCACTTTTGGCATTAGTTATTTACTTTCTTTGTTTTGGTCGCTCGTCCTCGAGTAGTTCCGAGACCTACTGCTTCATTGCCGTTTGATAATCACAGTTTCGCGAACAATGCCCTTAGGTGAGACCGTAGTTCCGGTGTTGCCGGAAGTGACGCACCGAGGGGGGAGATTTAAACCATTTAAAACACTGCTCCGTACCGTCACTGTGCTGGTGGGACCCTAATAACAACATCAACAACAACAACGCACCTGCTCGTTGCGTGACGCGCTGACTCACCACAGTGGCCACTCACCAGGCACGCGTATCATGGTTACCTCGGGTTATATAGTTTTAGAGGGAATTCAACGTTGCCATCAGACCTACCCTGCCATTATTTGGGTAACTAGTGGGCCGAAGTGGCACTTTGCTGCACACCAAAGAAATTGTATTAAGGCTGGTACTCACTAGGACACCCGGTCGCTTACCAACCGGCGATCTGGTTGACGAGCGACCAAATTGCACAAATATCGCCGTGTGTGTACGTGTCTGTCAATTTGGTTGACGGCGATTTGTAGGTTGCCAGGCAACTTTTTGGTTTTCGGACATGTATCGAAAACCTGGGGGTTTCCGATCAACCATTTTATCGCCGGGCAATCAGATTTCTCAAAAAACTAGAGTGTGTACGCTTCAGCGACCAAGTTGATCAACTAAAGACGGCTAGCGCATGCGCAATACACTGTTTGTGTCAACTGTCAAAACTAAACAGTGCTAGTGCTAAACGTGGTCTCTTTCAAGCTAGCTTTTTTTCCAATATGAGGCGTCACCAATTGCAAAATGTGACGGAAATTGTCGTCTGACATCCTCAAATAATTCTTGTAATCCTGAGGATTATCATCTCGCAAAGTTCGTAGAAGTGCCATGTGGCTGTAACTGTGTCTGCGTTGAAGCAACTCTTTAGCCCAAAATCTTTTGAACAATGTCTTCCTTCTTCTATGGTTACTGCAATCTTCGTAGGTGGGCATGTTGTCACAACACACAGGTCAGTGCAACTAGAGCTCGAACCAGTTTCCAAAACCAAACACAGTCCATCCCCACCAAATTTTGATTTCCTGCTCGGTTGAAAGTGCTAGGTATCCTAGTGTGTACCCCCCGGCAATAAAACGTTCAATCATCTACTTAGTCGCTCGTCAACCAGGTCGCCGGTTGATAAGCGACCGGGTGTCCTAGTGAGTTGTACTAGCCTACGCACGAGCCGTAGGCGAGTTTCTTGAGTGCAGCAAAGGCAGTTTGCACTCGTGTTGTACATTATATCTTTCCTGCAGTTACTGTAAAGCCTTAATTAGTCTTTCAAACACTGTACAACACGTTTTTAGGTTAGGTTAAATCCAAACATTTAACGAAAAGGGAAACGCTGCACCAACTGATCGTAGTCGTGTTGCCAACTTATTTTCAAGCAGCCTACGCGGAACGTGCATAATAAAATCACGCCGTTTCGTGTCGTTTGGTTGGAATACTGGTGTGCGCCAAATTTTAGGCTTTCTGTACTGTAATCTGTGCAAGGAAACGCATTTTGTCGGGTGACTGTAGGGAAAAGTATTTGTTATGCGTACAAATAATCATTTATGTACTGTGTGCGCATTAGGAATGTAGACACACACTCGCGATGTTATTAATTCATCCATGTTAGCGAACGAAATCAATAAACAAACTTTGACGATTTCAAGATTTTAGTTTGAGAACGAATCATGAAATTAGTTCAGCATTTTTACTCTCTAAGGCTCTTCCAGTGGTAACAATTAATTAAGGAATAGAGAATACGTTGACTTATTTTCCTGGTCTGTTATCTTAGTTAATTTGATAGGCCTAAAGAAATTAATTTTTGGTCAGAAAGTCGAATAAATATAAGTGCACTATTGTTTTATATTTCGTAGCCTACTTTATATTCAACATTGGAGAACTAAATCCTAATCGGGTGTAGAGTTGACACATTTGATACAATTAGACCACCTATCAGTCACCCCTTAATACATCTGTGTGGTACACCCCCTGCATATTACTCCCTAATAATTACTCTTTTATCTAGTTTGAGTAATATTTTATGACATAGACCATAGACCCCAAAAACAGCGAAAAGGGAGCAAAGAACAACCACATTTCCACATCTGGCTAGTGCTTTGCTAAGTTGCTGCCGTTACAGTCGGCCTTGAACCATTAAAATCCCATCAAACACTCAAGCATAAATTAGTTGTTGTAATCTCCGTTTACGCAGATCCTCTTATTAGTAACTAATTCCCGGAAGTTCCATCTGCCCGTCAAAATGAGTTCGTTACCACAGACTAGGGAAATCCTAGTAGTAATTTAAAAAAAAAGCCTCAAATTCGCAATATAACAATAATAACATTGTATCCATTTTAAGAGATACAATGCACATTTACTTACAGCAATAACGCCTACAGAATACATTTTTTCCTACAGTCACCCGACAAAGTTGGCTTCCTTGTACTGTTTATAGTACAGAAAGCTGCTAATTGCTGCATATTTATACTTTGCCGTACGGTTTATACTTTGCCGTACGGTTTATACTTTGCCGCACATCAGGATTCCAACGAAACAACACAAAACAGCGTGGTTCCATTATGCACGTAATCCGTGTACGCTTGGAAATAGGTTGGCAACACTTAAAGATAATTATACTATGAGCAGCTGATTGACTATTATAACTACGATTTAACCTGTCATATCGTGTTTATAGTTTCGGTATTTCTGAACTTTCTGGACTTTTCTTTTAAACGTTTTTAAAACCTTCCTACGATCTTAATAAACAAGAAAATACCTTTTAAGTATTTTTTCCTACAGTCACCCGACAAAGTTGGCTTCCTTGTACTGTTTATAGTACAGAAAGCTGCTAATTGCTGCATATTTATACTTTGCCGTACGGTTTATACTTTGCCGCACGGTTTATACTTTGCCGCACATCAGGATTCCAACGAAACAACACAAAACAGCGTGGTTCTATTATGCACGTAATCCGTGTACGCTTGGAAATAGGTTGGCAACACTTAAAGATAATAATACTATGAGCAGCTGATTGACTATTATAACTACGATTTAACCTGTCATTTCGTGTTTATAGTTTAGGTATTTCTGAACTTTCTGGACTTTTCATTTAAACGTTTTAAAAACATTCCTACGATCTTAATAAACAAGAAAATACCTTTAAAGCGTTTTTTTTAGGCGCGGAAACCACTTCAAATTACAAAAACATACGGAACTATATTCTCAAAACGTGGAGTACATTTCTTGCCGAGGAAAAATAGCGGAGTGATACAGACCGCGGGTACTACTTTCTCTAGGGCACCTATTTGTGTTGCCAGCTGAACCTAAAAACGTGTTGTATAGTGTTTGAAAGACTAATTATTTATATGCTTTATAGTGACTGTAGGAAAAATATAATGTGTAACACGAGTGAAAAAGGCCTTTGCTGCACTCGAGATCATTCCTCTCGTAACATTGCTCTCGTGTGCAGCAAAGTGCCACTTTCACCACTAGTTACACAAATAACTATTTTTAGGCGCGGAAACCACTTCAAATTACAAAAACATACGGAACTATATTCTCAAAACGCGGAGCACATTTCTTGCCGAGGAAAAATAGCGGAGTGATATGGACCGCGGGTACTACTTTCTCTAAGGCACCATTTGTGTTGCCAGCTGAACCTAAAAACGTGTTGCATAGTGTTTGAAAGACTAATTATTTATATGCTTTATAGTGACTGTAGGAAAAATATAATGTGTAACACGAGTGAAAAAGGCCTTTGCTGCACTCGAGATCATTCCACACTCGCCTGCGGCTCGTGCGTAAACATTGCTCTTGTGTGCAGCAAAGTGCCACTTTCACCACTAGTTACACAAATAACTATTGCAGTTACTATAGTTTAAATTGCCGTTTATAAAGGCAACACTGGAGTGGCCCATGGTTACCGGCGTTGTACAGGTCTGGTCTGCAATGTTGTTATCACAACAAAGCAAGTGAATCTGTGCGAGATAAAGGTAGTTGACCGGCTCGGCCACTGGGAGCACTGTGTTTGTGGTGGCGGTGGTGGACCAGTGAGTGATAGCGAGAGTGTCAGTCTCAGTGTAGTGTCAGTTGTGGCGGTGGTGGGCGATGGTTGTGTTGCGGTAAAGTGCGTGTAGTGCGTGTGGATACGGTTGTGATCGCCGCAGACATGTTGTGATGTAGTGTTGAAAGGTGAATGTCGTGGTTAAATTTTGAAATTAATTAGAGGTTAAAGTATCAACAAAAATCATTTTAGATCATAAATATCAATATTTTTAATTAAATATAGTTAAATATATAGTTATTAACATTGTTTGAAGGAAATAATAACCTATAGTAAACATACGTTATTTCTGTTTCGAGCTGTCTACGTAAATAGAGTTTAAGACATGTGGCCTTAACCAACATAACTATAAGGCATACAATTTAAACTTACCACCTTCGGCTTAGAAATGATTTAACTTTATCTTTAGAATTTTTCCTACGTTTTGTCAATTATCTGTCCTTATTAAATATCAATAGCTTGCTTAACACCCTTTTCAACAACACGCTATCGTTTATGTTGAGTTCTGTTGACGCAGACTGTGTTATGTTTCTAGAGACGATTAAAAGTTTATTAAAGAGATGTAACCAAATCGTTATTGAAACATTTGTTTGTGTAGTATATCTTAGGTCCAAAGTTCACCTTTTGACGTTACATCATGACAGTCTTGTAGGTAACGGATGTTGCTAGCCTCTTCTCGTCCTGTTCCTGTAGCACCTCTGTGTAGTGTTTTTCACATGCCTACCCTTGTGTGAGTGACTTTACACCATGTACTCTTGTCTGCACACCCCGGTGATGCTGATCTCGGTCCAGCGTCGTCCTCTGTCAGGACTGCACGACGAGGACCCCACGGGCAAGGAGACGGAGGACGACGCCCCCCTGGGTGCCTGCATGGACGCCACAGTGATGCGCCTCAAGCGGCGATGGTGTCGGGGACGACGCGCTGTCGTCAGGACCGTGGTCAATCCCTGGGTACGGTGGAGAGGTCGCCGGGTTCATCCCATCTACTGCCCGGAGGGGCTCAACAAGTAAGTACAGTAGTGTCGCTCAGGAGTTGGGTTGTGTCATCTGACTTTCACGCCTATCATCATTTTGAAAATAGCTTCTTATGCGCAAAATAGTGACTCCTAGATCAGATAGTTAGTCTAGTTTACTGCGGCAAATCCTTTAAAAGACACGAACATTAGGTAACGTATTTTATACCGACTACGAAGTGTATGGAGATTTGTTGCTAAAAACCACCCATTCGAGCCGTAAGGTTTTTCAACGGTCTTGATTTTTCATCTTATAGGCTAATTTTGATTCAATTTTGTACGGACGATAGAGCGTTTTAAGCTTTTCCGAACACATACATTTTCTTGCTTGTTAAATTTCGTCCCATTTTCGATAGCCTGTTTCCACTTAAAATTGCTTATTCCATATAATATGGGCTTACGGGCAATTCACTAAAAGGAGAAAGAAACAGAATGGCGGATGATCAAGCGGGGTTAAAATACTCAACCAGATTGGAAACTGTTGGTAAATAAAACAATACCAATGTACGATGAACTTAAGCCTTAATTGCTATGGTTGAACCAGGGGGTTGCATCAGGGGTCCATAGAATCCGCAACCGATTGTCAACTGGCGCGGTCTCATCTCAGTTCTCAGTACCTCAATTTATTTAGCTCCATTCTAAGAATTCCGATTCCTACAATTCAGATTGATAATATTTGGCCTTAATCAAGAACGGCAAGTTTCGTCCGACACACTTCTACTTAAACAACTGACGAAATTACATATTATTGTCATTATGCAACCCATAATTTTATTGCGGATATTTTAAGCACCTAAACCACATTTCCATGGATAATAATATGAAATTTATATTTGCCATTATCAATGCTTTCGCTTTAACAATAAGCCATCAAATTATATTATTTCCGAAAAACTATTCTCATTATTACTTAGTATTTTCCTTCCTCACAGGTATCTGTCCTGGGAAAAAATATAAGCCTGCTTGATACAAATACAGTATTTCATAATATTATAATTCCCTCAAGGCGTCGGCTATGTAAATAAATTTGACAAATAAATATTAAGTTTTGAAATAAGTAAAACACTGTTGATGTCGTTTTACTCAGATATTAACAACTAAGCGTTGGACGTTCGCATTAAACCGAATTGAATTTGGCCTTATAATATTGAACATATATTATGTGAATATGTATACAGTATAATAGGGATGTTTTAATAAGTATCTTTGTCAATTAAACTTATGTTACGAAATAAACCAAATTTAATACAATAATTTACCTTTAACCTTTAAAGTCGATCACAACACAAGAAATGGTACAGACTACCTGATGATATGGATAAAATAATTTAAGGAAGGAAGTTATAATTCAAGTTTCAAATACTCTTCATCATTCACTATGTTATGGTATTCTATGTAGGATATCAGTGCCGGTGGCCTGGTTAGTACTGTCATTACGCATTGTGTTTACAAATGATTGTTTAAATATTAAATATTTATAACAAATACTTTACATCTTCTTGCAAATTTTGCCAATCTTACCAACTTTTCTTGTAAACCTAAAATTTGCAATATTTACAAACAACCAACCAAACAACTGTCAATCCGATGTATCAGTCCAAGGAACGACTGAATAGGTCAAGCAAAAAATCCTTTTGGCCCTGAAAGAAGATTTGTTTTAACACGTGATTTGTCCCATTAAGGTCACTCACTCCTCCCTGATTACGCAGTCGGTATAACGAGATCGAAATGAAAGATTGTGATGAAAATTAAGCCCGTCCGGGAACTCGAGTTAGAATTTCCTGCAGCAACTCTCTTGATTAGAACCGATTGTAGGAATACGCTTGGTGAATTGTCTATACAGTGATCAGGTGTGTTATCTATCCATAACTAACTTGGAGAAACCCACAAGTCGCTCACCTATCAACCGCGTAATTTAATTAAAGATCTTAATGATATGATAGGTTACGTACCTTTTTTATTCCGTCGTCAGTCCTAAAATAGTCAAAGGGTGACTAGTTTCGGGTCAGAAATGACCCATTTACCATTTTCAAACCCATTTTTCATCAAATTGATTGGTCAAAATCCGACAGAAGTCTTCGTTATGAGGTACAAACACATGTCGACACATAAAGTTCACACATTTACGACACAAAGCACATTTAATGAAAGTAGCCGGCTACATTTATAAGAGACACACTGACGCAGGTAGCACGGCGGACACGACGGAACAGTTCCGAACCATCCGAACCAGTTTCGAACCTATTTGCAGTTCCGTCGTGTCCGCCGTGCTACCTGCGTCAGTGTGTCTCTTATAAATGTAGCCTCATTAAATGTGCTTTGTGTCGTAAATGTGTAAACTTTATGTGTCGACATGTGTTTGTACCTCATAACGAAGACTTCTGTCGGATTTTGACCAATCAATTTGATGAAAAATGGGTTTGAAAATGGGTCATTTCTGACCCGAAACTAGTCACCCTTTGACTATTTTAGGACTGACGACGGAATAAAAAAGGTACGTAACCTATCATATCATTCTACATCAGTCCTGGTGGCAATAATGTTTAAAAGATCTTAATGCAAAATACTTTCAATTCTCTCTAAACCTTTTTCTAGGGTTAAAATTTTTAAGTATACTATAACGGAAACGTTCATGTAAGCCTGATAGTTATGGAGAAAAATCCATAATACTGTCAATTGAAAATTGCTATGTTATTCTTATGGATAAAAAGTAAACAGTTGTAGTTTGCTTGTTTATTCTGATCAAATATGGCATATTTACTTACTTTATCCTAAACTATTACGATGTGTTTGGAGAAAAGATGAAATAATTCAAAGGATACTGTGAATTCTATATCTTCCGAAGTTGATTTATGTGCCGTCTCCATAGTATGTCATCAACAGCAACGGAGTACATCACTCTTCCAATTATTTTCTTTATTTCACCTTTTCTCCAACACTAAAAACACCTCATAACGTTCCCTGTAGCATAAAACCTGAGTACTCCTTACCCTTAATATTATTTAAATAGGGGGTGAATCTGACATATTTAAGTAATCAGGCAAATTGAAATTCGCTTAGTATGCAGATTTGCTGCATAGGGGATATTATATAAAAAATATATATATTATGTGTTATGTGTTCCATATACAGTAAACAATATACACAAATGTTCCACAAATGTTCCACAAATGTTTTTATAGTTAATTATGTAGAACAATAAATATATTTAGTTGGCAAGTAGCCTTATGCTCCGACTGGTAAAAAATAACTCATCTGCAGAGTATTTTACCACAGACAATAGCAACCCTTAAGACATAAGGGTTTTTATTTATATTGCTATTTGATATTGATTATTGATATTTAAAAAGACCAAGAAAAGACGAAACGTAGCAACACTTCTAAAAGATTAAATGAACTAAATAATATCTGAGGAGAGGATGATAAGTTAAATGTTATGAGTTAATAATAAAGTTAACCCTTTCCTTATGACATGAATATTGTTATCTAAAATATAGGTTTATTCATAGAGAACAAGCGCCTAATCTTCCAGCAGTTCGCATTCATTGGACGACGTAGTAAAGAAGCACAATATCTTCTCTACGTTCTCTCCCCGTTCCGAAGCACAAAAGGCAATATAGTCCAGGAGCTGAGGGGGTTTGAGCATGCATGAAAGTAGTACGCAATATTATTGCTGATTATTGTAATATGGACTGTGGTGATCAAAATTACGTATGTCACCTACTTTAAGGCATTGAACTTTGGGGGGATTAACTGTTGTGCCGATATCAGCAGCACTGTGCAGCAATTATGACGCAACCTATCGGACGCACCCCAAGGACATGTTTTACATTTTTAACCATATGCATTCGTAATAATAGATTTTTCCTTATAAGAAAATGCATCATTTAGTCGAGTAATTTTCTAATTAGGTACACTATTATTTATCAACAATTCCTTTTATTAAAAAAAAAAAACATGAGAAACGTATTTTTGTTATAACTTTTTTATTACTTAAGATACAACGTTGTACCTAATAACCTTTTCTATTTGCCATATTTGTTTGATTAAAACAACGTTTTGACCGATGTCCCATCTCGTACCGTTATCGAGATAAGAGTCGTTTCAATGTATAGCGCGTTCCGCTATCTTCCCCCCCCCTCCCCACAAGTTCTCGACCACCTGAAAAGTAGGCGATATGTGTATTTTTTATCACCACAGTCTGTGTTACAACTATCAGCAAAGATATTTGATATTACTTCTTTACGACACTCACAAATTAATTCTACTTTCGGAAGAAAAAACTACACGAATAGTCCATTTTTACATATTTTATACAATAACTTGTTTATTATTAGAGATACGACCTCGGACTTGATAATCACTATTGTAGTCCATATTGCTAGGATTACAACGACGTTTTAACCGATGTTCTATCTTTTACCGTTTTTGAAATATCAGCAGTTTAAAGCATAGCGTTCCCCTCCTATAAATTAAACAAAATTGCCAAGTTTGATCAAAATAATCTTCATAAACAAGCAAACTACAACAGCTTTTTTATTCTCCATAAGAATAACTTGGGAATTTTGAGCTTACATTTTTTTGGTTTTACAACTATGCCTACAACTGTTAGGCACAAAACAATGTTTCAATGTACACAATTATTTCTTTTCCAAGCTCTACAAATGATTGGAAAATGAATTGTGAAATTTTATGTTTTCTGATTTAAAAATCGAAAACCCTGATTTTCACCCCATAAACCCCAATTAATTACATGTTTGCATGAGTTTACGACTAGCATCACCTAAACGTCACCTATGGTTGCGGAGAAATTGTTAAAATCTTGCGCGAGCGCGGAGACATCAGCTTGGGTCGCCGGAAGACTGTTCCCCGGAAAACTACCCCCCCCCCCCAAGCAGGTCCCTACGTCATATTGACGTCAGAGACCGGAGGGGCAGTTTTCCAGTCACGGACACTCAAATTTAGTTGTCAAATAGTTCTAATCTAACCTAACC